CCCCAAAACCCCAAAACCCCAAAACCCCAAAACCCCAAAACCCCTAAACTTGCACTTCTTTTGAAAAATAAAATTATAAAATTTGAATAATTTTTACAGAAATGGCAAGCAAATACATCTCTTCAGTATGTATACTTATATAACCTATACAGTTCCCCGTCCCAAAAGGATTCGATGAAATCTTGCATGATTTCGCAAGAGAGATCCTAAGAGACCAGCCTCAGGACGTTCTGGACTTCGGCCATGAATATTTCAAAGCATTAGATGAAGGCCTTGACTTTAATTATGCTAAGAAAGGTAAAAACATCCCTCCTGAGGCTTCCAGGAGGGATCGCAAGGCTGTTAAGCCTCAAGATACTCAAAATAGAGATGAAAATAAGGGTGATAAGAAGGGTGAAAAGACGGATGGAAAGACTGATGAAAAGACAGATGAGAAGAAGCAAAAAAAGCAGGAAGTAAAGCAGGAAGTAAAGCAGGAAGTAAAGAAGGATAAAAAGGAGGATGTAAAGAAGGAAGAAAAGACAGATGGAAAGAAAAATGAAAAGAAGGACGAACAGAAGGATGAAAAGAAGGATGAAAAGAAGGATGAACAGAAGGATGAACAGAAGGATGAAAAGATAGACGAAAAGATAGATCAGAAGATAGATCAAAAGAAAGATGAAAAGAAAGATGAAAGGAAAGATGAAAAGAAAGATGAAAAGAAAGATGAAAAGAAGGAAGAAAAGAAGGAAGAAAAGATAGACGAAAAGAAAAATGAAAAGAATGATGAAAAGAAGGATGATAAGATAGATGAAAAGAAGGACGAACAGAAGGACAAAAAGAAAGATGAAAAGATAGATGAAAATAAAGCTAAAAATAAAGCTCCAGAGAAGACTCAGAGTCCTCCTAAGGAAGAAGAGACCAAAGACGCTCCTTCAAAAGCAAATGACTCAAGAGTCTCATCAGGTAAAGCAATTGCCAACGAAGCCCAGAAATATGTCAGTGATATGATTGAGAAGCTAAGCCAAGATGATGAAGACGAGGAAGGTGATGAAAAGGATTCTAAAAAAGAACCTAAAGACTAATTACACAAATAACTAATAATTATCTTAGATATCCATGTACAGGAAAATAAACCCGTTGTCAAAACCCTTGGGCAGTAAGAGAGACTTTAGAATAGGTATATTTTGGGTGGCGCCTATCCTACTCAAGAAATTGTGAAGAAGAGGAAGTCGCTTACAGGTTCATAAATAAAGAAATCTTATTTCTCATAGAATATATGATTTTTGCTTACGATCAATTGATTAACTAAAAGAAGGGGTTTTGGGGTTTTGGGGTTTTGGGGTTTTGGGGTTTTGGGG